CTGATCAGGGGAGCTACACAGTGAGGGACCTTCAGGGAAACACCATCAGCACTGCGATCGTCACTGTCACTGGGGGAGGTGAGTCTTCATTACAGGACAAACTGAGTTAAACTGATCTCCACCTGAACTTACCTGCTTATGAAGATACAATACTTGAGCTGTTTCAGTGCTGATTTTCTCCTGTGGTTTGAAGCCGATCACACAGGTCCAGTGTGTCAGCTGGTGTTTCAGAGACGGCAGTTTTCCAGCTCCTCTCCTGGTGTTTCTCGGGCTCTGAGCTGGGATGTGAAACTGGGCAGCAAGAACACTCTCTCTCACACAGCGGCTGCTGGATAGTTTTTCTTTCCCTTCTTGCTGTTGTGGGTTTGCTCTCTGTGTGACTGTCTCTGTTCTTGTGTTTTCAGAGATGAGGAGGGTGTCACGGCCTGAAACTGTTGCAGTCATCACTGCGATAGTGGCTGTGCTGATGGGTGCTGCACTGGGTGCTGTTGTGTGTCAGAGACGGTGGAAGATGAGAAAGTAGAGAAACAAGATACCAGTTTAAAGCAACAATATTAATATCCATAAAGAAAATGGAATCCTTTAGGGATCTGAGAGGCTCAGTGATGCTGTCCCTGCGCATGGAGGAAGACGATGGTACAGAACTGAGATTGTTCCAGTGGTGAATCCCCAATCTTCTCCAGTTCCCGGTGGATCCAGTTCTCCCAGTGTTACTGCAGGAATCCCTTCAGGCACAGTTATTGTGAAAGACCCAGAGCAGGGGACAGACTCAGGATATCCATCTGAGGAGGATGATGGTGAGCTGCCTCCTGCAGGTGAAGTGCCACTGACAGACCCTGAGCCAGACTGTGCTTCATCTTATTATAATAATAATAATAATAATAATAATAATAATAATGTCTTACACTTATATTGTACTTTTCTGGACACTCCACTCAAAGTGCTTTACAGGTCATGGGGAGAGACACCCCGGGATTGTTAATGAGCACAGAGAGTCAGGACCTTGCTTTGACGTCTCATCCGAAGGACGGCGCCTGTTTACAGTCCAGTGTCCCCCGTCACTATACTGGGGCATCAGGACCCACACAGACCGCAGGGTGAGAGCGTCCCCTGCTGGCCCCACTCACACCATCTGACAAGAAGAGGAAAAGCCGACAGGCCTGGGTGAAAACAAACACTGCACGCCACTAACCCTTCCCATCGCCAGGAGAGATTAACTACAGCACGACCCCTACATGAGGATGAGGAAGATCGAAGCCGGTGTGAAGCCAGTCGAATTTGAGATCCCGTCTGAAGTCCAATGCCGTCAATATGGGTGTTTTATAAGCTGTGGAGAAAAGCCAGAGAAGCACAGTCGTTCTTCTGAAGCAAAAATACTTTATCAGGTGCTCTTGCTAGGTCACAAGTCTGAAGTGTAAGCAACATTATCCTTCTGCAATGCAATCGTATTGCTTTCTTGTGCTGAGGTATGGAGCATGTTCTTGCCTTAGTCATTTCTAAGGAGAATAATCACAGCTTGTCTTCGCCGTGAACAAGAGGAACGCAGTGGGGAAACCAGCCCCCTGTCTGACAGCTGGACTTTTGCCAATCCGTAACCCTTATCTTTCCAAAAAGACTTAACATCCGCGGGGCTGTTTCACAGATCATGTCTGCCTCTAAGCTCAGCCTCAAACCGCCTCAAACCGCCTCTGCAGCATCAGCTGGTTTCGAATTGGCTGCCTGAGTTCGAGATGAAACCTTTGCAGCACTGAAGTTGCCGTGTTTATGGAGTTTGCAGTAGGTATCTTTAATGTCTTTAATGTCTCTGTCAATCACAATAAAAAGTGACTAAAAAATGAGGATTGTGTTTATATCGGCTCGTCTGTCTTGTGTCTGTAACTGCTTTGCTGATCAGATCTCGCTTAGACTGCCCTTCTGTGGCGAGAGGAGTCCGGGTCTCATCACTATGAACTCGGGGTGTCCACCTGCTGATATTACCATACTGATGGCAAGGGGCTGATCTGTAAATAATGGGAGCAGGTATTGGGGTCACTGGATTTCCAGATATGTCGACACTTCCCTGCTTTGATGCGGTTAGATGCTCTTATAAGAAACTCCACTGCAGAGCGCGGTGTGTGTGACGACCGTACAAGAGAGACTTGAATGACAAAGCGGACAGAAAGAAAACATTGAGCAGTTCGAGCGCTGCATTAAAACCCTACACGCACACGATCCACAAGGTGGCGCTCTTGGACATTGTAACATCAGTGTGCCGACGGTGATCTAAAACGGGTTTAATGTAACCCGCGTTGCTGTGTTTCTGCCGGGCTGTGTGCTTGTTCACTCGCCTGGCTGTTCAGGTACAGTCCAGCTGTCGGCTCAGAGTGACCTCAGGCTCCAGGGAGAGGGGCAGGTCAGGCTGTCAGGGGGAGATCACGCTGAGTAAATACCCTGCTGGTAGTGACTCTCCAGCCCAGGACCAGTCTGGGTTCCTGCCAACTCAGGCTGGGAAGTGGAGACGCTGGTCAGATCTTCACATCATCTCCGCTTGGACCTGTCTCGGCTCCTACTGGGTGAAGACACTGACTCAAAACTGTGATCCTTAAAATGTCTTAAAACGTCCTGCTATTTTTCTCTATCAGTAGTGATTTCAGTTCCTGATCACTAGAGGGCGGTGTGAGCCTAAAGTAGAGCAGTATGTTATCAAGCGATTGTCGTTTGGCCTTTAGGTGAGGAAACTCATCCACATGCGTTAGTGTATCATACACTAACGCAAAAAAACGTGCATAGCAATACATACAAAAATAACATTTCTCAAAGTAGTGTTTTCCTTTCCACACTAATTCAATTTCCCCGATGGGATCAATAAAGTGTCTGATTCGGACTGTGACAGTGTCATTAATCTCTCCACCAGGACTGCCCAACTCCACCTCTAACAAAACAAAATCTGCCGTTTCATTCAGTTTCCAGTCGTGTCAAAAGGTTGAAACCCTGGCTTCTCTCACGACACAGCTGGGTGAGCTCCTCTGTACACAGAGGGGGGTGGGGGTGGGGAACAAGCTTCCCAGCCCTGTGGTTGAAGCCGATACCC